AACTGGACCGGGCGGAGCCGGGTATGCCAGCTAGTAAATTATATGATTTCAATCTTTTCTATCTTTATTTTCGGTAGACATTCTCACATACTGAGCGTTCTGGGCTTACCACACAATATAGAATCAGCGCTGACAAAATTCTTCTAATTCATTCTGACATTAGAAAAATAACTTTATTCTCAATAGACTGCAGAATAAAACTGGGGCCACAATTTCAAGATTTGGTTTCAGAGCGACCCTCGAAACAGAAGGAGACTAGAATAAAGGATTGGGCGTTGAAGGCAGTGGACTAGGCTCAGCAAAACTGAACATATTTTTGAACAGTTTTTGTGATTCCTTGCACATAAATTACGCACATTTGCCGCCCAAGGAATTCTTGCTTTGTAGACTCAATCGTTGTGCTTTTTAGAAATGCACCAGAAGGCAGATTGGCTGGAATGTATTGTATCAACTGATTAAGCTCATTTCAACCGTTTTTCTCGCTTTGGGGCGATATTAGAGCATTTGCTGCTGTGGTTCAACTAGCTGTACATTCATTATGCTTTTAGGTGGCCGAGACAAATATACGAAGTATATTCGCGCAGGTGACGACGAAAGCAGAATAAATCATTCAAAAAAGGTGAGTTCGCGAACTTCACCGCTTTCGCTGCAGTTGGTGCATATGCGAAACAGCCTGAGTTTTTGAATTATTTTATTGTTGGTAAGTAGAAAGCAAAGGGTTCAAATGCATAAACATAACACTTGCGTCTTTTGGATTTGAGGTAATCTCTTGCGTATGCGAAAATCAGATAAATCTTATTTATTCCTCGCTTTCGAATTAGGAATGACTAAACAAGATAGCCGAGAACGCACAGTTGCAGCTGTTTCAAAGTTGCCAAGTATATGATTATATTGCTAATCTGTACCTTAAGTTGTGGGAAATTCAAAGCTGAATTTGGAATACATTACATTTGTATGTTTCTGTTGTTGCAGCTCTCGGGATTTGACAGGGCACCCATATTTCGACGTAAGTCTGAAACGAAACACATTTCATGTGGAAGAGTACTTGCTGGAGACGAGGTATGTAAATCATCACGCTGACGTGAGTAGTAATCTACCTATTAATTCAGATGTATATTAAGAATATCACTCTCAAGCGTATAAAGCTACAAAATCGCGAGCTAAATATGTCCTGCAGTGAAATCAAAGCCCGTATACTACCTCCCAAAGGTCTGAAGAACTTGATGTTTGGCGTCGCTTATGCTCGTATTGTTTACGAGGTACTTGTCTTTTTCTATTCGAAAAACATTTGGTATGTAATACGAAACTCTGAGCGACGAAAACAAGTTCGAACGTCCAGTGAGAAAGAGTATGCAGAGATTATTCATTATAATTTTGAGATCTCAAAGGCAGACACGACAGGCGAATGTTCAGAAATCATACCGGTTTCTGTGCCTACGACAATGCTTGGCGCAGTGTTACTGTTGGAAATTACATTCTGCTTTCTCGCGAACTGAAATGTGACGTAACAATCACGAAGCGACCCACATGAGACCTATCAAAAAAGACGAAAATTGGCAAAATAGGCAACTAAACTCTGCTCATTTTAGGACCAAACAAAGATCAAAAGAACGTATGAGCTTTATGCTCGAATTGTCTTCTCAAAGAAGCTATGGAGTCTTCCTTCTGAACTTTACTAGGCATCAGCTCAAAATGATCTTTTATAGTTTTACACTATCTCTTGTAAATTCAAATCGAGAAGTTTCCTGTCCTAATGCAGGTTT